CAATTACATAATAAAGAAGTTAAGTTAGAAGGTCGTGAAAGTGGAATAGGGGTTGATCAAGATTATAATAAAGCATTTGAATACCATTAAAAATCTGCTAATAAAGGTTATAAAGTAGCAATGAGTAATGTTGCTCGATGTTGTCGTAACGGTATCGGTACAAAGGCAGATATTCAGAAGGCAAATTATTGGTTCACAAAATATGGAAGTCTTTTGTAAACTAATAAATCACTAAATCATATCAATTCTGAATATTAGACGCTGAGAGGTTTAAATATCTTAGATTGATTATAATGAGTTCAAAGATATCAATGAACGGAAGAAGGTGGATTCGCAACTGTATATTGAGCACGTTGGTTAGATATTATTAATGGTAGATCCGGAGATGTTGCACTTAAAATGATTCGTAATTCAACCAAGAATTGAAAAATTATTGTGAAATTTTTTGTTACAAGAATCCTTCGTTCCTGAACTGTTTAGGAGTGTCAAGAAACAAACATGGTGAATATATTATCATCATGAAGTTTGTAATAGAAGGCTCATTACGAAAAAATCTTGTACGAGTATCACAATTAGTACGGAAGGATGAATTGAATATTTTGTACTGTATAGCTTTGGATCTCGAGTCGATGCATTCACAGAAACTCGTTCACAGAGATTTACACAACGGAAACATTTTGCAAGATATGCTGCAACAGAAATATATTCGGACTCTGACTAGTCTGCAGACTTCGGACCAGACCCGGACCAAACTCAGACTAGTCTGAATATAAAAGTCTGGTTCGGGTCCGGTCTGTAAGAGCACTATGGAGTCAAACCAGAAGGATAATTGATATTAATGTTAGCAGATTCAAAAATAAACCGGTAGAATCAGAGTTTGTGTTCATTACTATCTATAACATTAATTGCAAAGAAGGTAATAGTGATCTTAATTTTTTTGGCAGCATAATTAATTTAATGCTAATATCTTTTATAATTTTTATTAGGCTTCATCAATAAAGATAACAAAGATACCTTTGTCCACACGACTTGGTCAACAAGATTTTCATAACTCGGTGTTAGAATTAGTATGGATCATTGTGTAGATGTTCTTATTGAATATCTGACATTTATCTAAAAGGGTAAATTATAAACAGTTGTACACTGTTTAAGATCCCTATGAATTGACTTTAAATGTCGAAGACTTAATTCATCCTTCAAAAAATTTCCGCATTCGATGGCCTACCAAGACCACAGAATAGTTTTCAACTATTATGGATTATTGTATAAATATTCTTATTGAATATTTGATGTTTACCTAAAAGGGTAAATTATGAACAGTTGCACACTGTTCAAGTTCCCTATAAATTGACATTAAATGTCAAAAACTTCAAAAAATTTGTGCATTCTGATGGCCTACCGAGACTACAGAATAGCTTTTGATTAGTATGGATTATTGCACGGATATTCTTATTAAATATCCAATGTTTACCTAAAAGGGTAAATTATGAACAGTTGTACACTGTTCAAGATCCATACGAATTAACATTAAATGAAGAAGACTTAATTTATTCTTCAAGAACTTTATATGTTCAATGGTCTACTGAGACCACAAAATAGTTCTCCAAGAGAACGAAAATCTGATTAAATGCTTGGAGAACGAAATCTGATTAATTGTCTGGAGCTGGCATACAAAAGAGAGTGGCCGCTTAAAAATGTGATTAAATGTTTGGAGCTGGCATATGAAAGAGAGTGCTGCTTCAAATATGCACTGGATATTCTTTTAGTTTGTTTTATACCCAGAAACATGTGTAGGGGGATATATTGTATGGATAAGAATATGTTTTATTATGTTTTTCCTAATTAATTTGAATTTTTTCAAATCAAATATTAACTTATTTGAATTTGATCAACACATTCTTATAGTGAACTTTCACGATTCAATTACCCATTATTATTATAGACACCATTTAAATTATTAGTTTATTACTCATTTTATTGCGAATATCCGAATATCCAGATTCTTTATAATAAGTTTGTTATAAAATTAAAGTAGAGGATATCCGGATCGCATTTCTAGCTTTAAACAAATATTCAAACCTGTATTATTATTAGAACTAGTGGTGGCATGCGCATGAATTTTGAGAATCATGCACAAGATTTGTAGGTATATTTTAATGTACCCTGATATCGATACAATCATTTTATATAATTAAAAATATTAGAAAAGACTTGTTATTATAATAAAATAGAATTTAAATAAAAAAAAAACAATTTAAATTTATTATCATTGTCTAAACCTCTAAAATTAACCTCGTACGGTATATTTTTATAATAAATTATCGTCCATCACGAGTGCTCTAACATTTTTACCAATCATTTTTTACATGTGAAAAATAAGATACAACTTACATTCATAATTACATTCATAATTTTATTTCGAATTACCAATTTATTTGAACGTTAAAAAATATGAATTTCATGGCTGTGGGAGTAAATATGGTATCTTCCAAAACCCATAAAGATCAGTAATATCATAACTTTGAATATTTTTACGGCATTTACTGGTTTTATCATTATGGCCAAATCCATATAGCAGATTGTACGGAATGATTTTAAAATAAGTATTTTAGAAATTACAGAAGATTTGGATAGTTGGATGACCAAATTATATGGTAAGTGGGTGTAAAATATCTATTTTAAAAACATATACTGATCTCGTTATCAATATTGTGTGTTGTGTTGATCAGCTTGTCAACGAAGTGACAAAGCGGATCACATGTAAGTCAGTCTTTAGCCTTTTATGAGTATATGCATAATATTTCTAAGTATCTTACCGGATTAAGTGAATTAAGATATTTAAGAACGGCTCTCTGCAGAGTGATTCGGGTATTCTTCTGTTCGCTATCGCTCGCCTTAGCAAGACTGGCTTTAACGACCTTCTGTCGTTTTCTTGTTAAGTGGCGCGGCGGCTTGGAAAATCGCTATGTAAATTGAAAAGTTTCTTTCCTCTTGAAGAGTGTTCTGATTTCGCGGAGGATTGGTACTTAAACTGTACCTTGGGTCGGTAATGTTAAGGGATGTTGAATTGAATGATTTCTCCGATTCAGGTTACCTAGACGTTCGGACTAGGGTCCGAAGGATTGGGGCTATATGAACTGCGTTTCCTCCCTTATTTCCACTGCGGGGAAATGAGCCGGGATCAGGTTTAATATAAGAGACCCAATAATAAAATTGTTTAAAATTGATTTGAATTTAGAGTAGGGTCCCTTATATTAAATTTGATCCTTCGGACACTCATATAACCGGGAATTTACTTCTTATTCTCGCCGTCGCGAAAAATAAATAGTGCACATTCACTTTTAATTTGATTTCTTATTTCATTGATTTAGTGGCGATGATTATAATAGTGGATGTGTTTAAATAAGTCATTTCTTTATATTTATACTAAATTAGTCTGTAAGTATAGTCAACAAAAAATTTTTGCTGCTCCTTAAGTTATACTATCTCGGTAAGTACTTGTTACCCGACAGGTCCTATGTGCGCACTAGACGTTTTTTGTATATATTATTCGATCACTTTCTAATCATGTGAAAACTC